TACTGTATTGAATATTGGAAGTCATACCACAACTTTCCAATAGATGCAGTCAAATTCAATATATTCTACAGCTCCTTTCTGCAATTACTACTACCTTTATCAGATCCCACCCATCCTTTTGTTTGTTTGTTTACCTGACATCTGAGCAGGATTAAGTAACCTGCACTGTTACCAGTTGCTAGACAAGAGGGTTCTTCCTGTGGTTACCTCTCAAACTTCCTCACTGAAGTATCTTCAGCTTCCTGAGTTACCAAGCTCACTACAGCAAAGGCTGCACCACTTACCAGCATATCAGACGCAAAACAAGCCAAAATCTTTAATAAATTGTCCTTGGATTTGTTTACTCTACAGGTCCAGCATTTTCTCAAAGTAACAGTGAAAGTTAACTAAAAGATACCAATTCACAACATTTTTCAGGATCAGTACATTCCATGAAAGAGAGCACACTACTGAAACATTTGATACAAATATTTAGCATCTCTGTATCCAAATAAAGTGCAGATTCTGCACTTGGGCTGCTGACAAGCTACATAGCTGAAGGAAGACCTAGCAAGATGACAGCCAAGCACCCAATGAACCTTTATTTTCCTCACTCTCACCAAGACAAAAGCAGCTGTCAGATTTTACTGAACATGTTACAGCCACTAAGTTCGATATTACCACTATCATTAATGACAACCAGCAGAAATACAGATCTCTTTGAAATGGAATAAGCAAGCAAAGCAGCTGAGACTTCCAAAAACCTTCAGTGGAAGAATCCCACTGCAGCCGCATCCTGAAGCCCCTGCATCAATGCAGGGTTTGGCACTGGCATCATCCTGCCATGAAATTCAACCAGTGTTCCTGCTTGGCAGAAAGGTGATTCTCTCTTAAAAGAAACAAGATAAACTAATTAAAGCAAAGCACATATAAAAGAGAAAAGAGATAAAGGGGTCAGAAGAAGATGAAGAGTCACTCTAGATAAGAGTACAGCATCTAGAAAAGGAGGGAAAACTCTAGAAACATCTGATACCCTCTACAGGACAAATACATGGCATTCCAGGTAGGATAATAAACCAGCAATTCGTGGCAGATCAAAACAATGAACCCTTTAGGGGAAAGCTGCTACTATACAGGCTGTAGCTTTAACTGAGGCCTCAAAACACGAACACGAACCCATCACCAAACAACAACTGTTAATAACCGAAGGAAGGACCTGAAGCCCCAAGCAAAAGAATCGGAAGGGGCAGCCTTCTGCTGTGAGAAGAGCACAGGCAGCTGACAGGCAAAAGCAGGAGCGCAGGGCCCGGAGGCACCGCTGAAGGAAACGCTCCCCGGAGGTGCCAGGGCAATGCTGCCACAGACGGAGGAGGGACCCGCCGCCCGTGCGGGAGCGGGCGCCGTTCGAACCGCCCCTCAGCAGCAAAGCCCGCCGGGCCCCGCCGCGGCCCCGTACCTGGCTGGCTTTGTGGAACTGCTTCTTGAGCCCCGCCACCGACATGGTCCCGCCGCCGCTGCCCCGCGGCCGCCCGGGCCCAGGGCCGCCCGCGCCGGCAGCTCCGCGCGCCCGGCCCCGCGCAGCTCCGCCCGCGCGCCGCCGCCAGCATCGCCCTCCGCGCGCCCGGCCGCCGCCGCCCCATTGGCCGCCGCCCGGCCACATGCAAATGTCGCTGCAGCGCCGCCCGCCCATTGGCCGCTCGCCGGGATATGCAAATGAGAGCGCTGGGAGACGCCCACGCTGCGCTGTCGCATGGAGACAGCGGCGGGGGCTGCGCTGGCCCGGCGGGGACACGGCGGCGGCGGGGGCACCCACAGGGCACCCACAGAGCAACTACAGAGCACCCCAGAGCACCCCTCCTGCCGGGAGCACCCACAGGGCACCCACAGAGCATCACAGAGCACCCCTCCTGCCGGGAGCACCCACAGGGCACCCACAGAGCATCACAGAGCACCCCTCCTGCCCGGGGCACAGCCCGGGCACCCACAGAGAATCACAGAGCACCCCTCCTGCCGGGAGCATCTCCTGGGCACCCACAGGGCACCCACAGAGCACCCCTCCTGCGGGGAGCATCTCCTGGGCACCCACAGAGCACCCCTCCTGCCGGGGGCACCGCCCGAGCACCCACAGAGCACCCACAGAGCACCCTTCTGCCGGGAGCATCTCCCGGGCACCCACAGAGCACCCGCCGGTGGGGAGCACAGCGCCGGCACCGAAAGGCCAGTCAGCTGCCCAGTTTCATCTGTCTTATTTCGAATAAGGCTGAAAATATTTCATTATGGGTCTGTCTCATTTCTTGTGGTTCAACGTAGCATCTCTGAGCTCATTAACCTCAGATCCATTATTGTAGGTGGTAATTTAATTATAGCTCTTGAAACATGAAAGCTCTTGCAGCAGTCCAGAACACACCTGGCTGGTGCTATGCACCAGAAAATATCCACTTTGTCGTGTGACTCCATACCAGCAGTGATGCTGCTCAGGGCTCCAAAGGCACAGTCTCTCACTCAGAAGAGCAGATAGACTAGAAAGAGCTCTGCTGAAAGGGTGTTTTAGCTGTTTGGGTGGTTGTTATGTGAGGGATTTACAGATTATATACTGAAATATGGCTGTGTATCAGGAATATGCTGATATAAATTAGAGATGTGGTTCTGCCTTCATGGTAGAGCAATTCCAAGCGATGCTTACATTCTGGGGAAGATAAGCTCTGTGATAATGCTGCTTGATCCTGGCTGTAAGGATACTTGGGAGTTATGATTCAGCTGAAACTTATGCAGGGACCTGGGGAGCAGTTCAAAGATAAGCTTTGCTGGCTGCAGCAGGGCTCTGTGTTACTCACTGTCATGCTCACTGCATTTTGATTGGGTTAGGAGAGGAAAACATTTTCAGAGTATGATAGAGTTGCTTCTTTAGAATAGCAAAGAAGAAAAAATACAAGAACCTTCATACTGGTTGTCACACTGTAATTTGGGAGAAAGGAATTGCTATTCCCACCTCTTAGAAAAAATTATAATACTACTAAGAAACAAAGTGTAAAGACAAACACATTAATGAGTTAAGGATCTGACTGTTACTTGACAAAGGACTCTGTAGAGGAGAGGCAGAAGAGAAAGCAAAGAGGAGAGCACCAGTCAACATTTGCTCTGGAAGACAAACTGTTAGGTGAAGTCCTTCAGGGATCTGGGAATGTTTGAAAGTAGCCTGCCATCACCATGTTATCTGGTGCCACCTGTGTCTAGGGAAAGAGCATTTTTGGCCTCCTTACAAGTAAACATGATTACACCACAGACACCTGATTTCAGCAGTTGTTTCTCCTCCCTGATTGAAACTGGCAGCAAGATGTTATTAACTGTCAGGGCCAAATTAGTTATGGCTTCAATTAGTGACATGTTTGTAGACACCTCAGGTGAGGAAATAAGGCCTAAACTAGGATATTGGAGCTCCATAAAAGGAATTAAAGCAAGCTCTTAGTGTACTATGGAATTAGGGAGACAAGGCAGCTTTGGCTAATCATCAGCTTTAGGAACGGCTGGACCAGAGCAAAGAAGGAAGGAGTTTGAAATAAATCTCTGTGGAGGGGAATGAATGGATTATGGACTTGCTGTGGGTGTTAGCTGTAAAATTGGATTAGATAAAGAACTTTAGTAAGGCTGCATGTCTACAACTTCTTTTTTTTTTTTTTTTAATCCTTTTTGTAGCCCAAGGATAGCAGCCATGTTGTCTCTGCTGAAGGAGTGCAAGAATTTGCAAGTGGGAGATGCCCTGTGGGAATTTCACATCATAGCCTAATTGCTCAGTAATACAGACAAGGTGAAAACCTATTTAATGAGCCAACTTGTGTAGTCCAGGTACTGATGACTTGGTGGAGGCATCCTGAAAGACACTGGTATTCAGTTCAGTAGCAAGTAAAAGTTATAGCTTGTAGCCAGCAATACACAGTGGCTGAGGAATGTCTAAAAGGCTTTATAATCACATAGTTTTACCTCATGGAAAAAAAAAGGATTGTAATTTGCTGAGTGATAATCCTTAAGATTTATGCAAAGTTAGTGATTTAGTCTAGAAAATAAGAGAAATGAGAAATACTACAAAAAATCTTGGAAGGTGGTTCAGGTAAATGCTGACATGATGGAAAAAAAGCTTCTAATAAAGTTGTTAGAAGACAGGCTAGGGCAGAGTCAAAAATGCTTCACAGAGGAGACCTTCAGGGCAAAAGTTCTAGATGTCTGGGTATTCAAACAACAATTACACTTCCACTACTCTGGAAACATTAAAGTGCATGAGAGGAATTCATAATGGCTCCAACATGTTACTGAATCACGTGTGCTAAAATGGACAATAAAATTTGCACAAACTGAGAACTCCTAACTGGGCTCAGATCAAGGTAGTGACTAGAAAATATGCGCTACTCACATGGGAGAACCGTGCTTGAAAATTGGTCCTGTGAAATTCAAACAAGAGAGAATCTTGCATAAAAGGTTAAATTTATAATTCACTTACCTTTCAGTGTGGCTATACTATGGGAAAAACACTGTCATCAGAAATTCAATCTAAAGATATGACAAACAATCTCATAGGTGATTTGTTTTCAATGAACAAATCATCTTACTTGTAACAGCTGAAATTGCAGTAGTAGCCACATGAAGTATCAGGTTTCCAGCAAAATGAAAACTAGAGGTATTTTTAAAATTATATAGAGGCACCTTAGCATTTGAATTTACTTGGAATTTGAAGCCAACTACATTCACATTCGTTTGAATGTCTCTTAAAGATAATGAAAACTGTCATTGAAATATAATCTGGGTCTTTGGTGGTTACTGCCATAAAAGAAAACATCAAAAAAGGGAGTAAAGATGAGTTTGCAATGAAATTTCATTGTATTTGATTCTGGGCCATGCTGACTACATTATTAAAGCTTTTTTCTTTTTTAATATTTAGGCCTTAAGAAAAAGATAAATTACTGTGTATCAGCTTATCATGCAATACATTTCAATACAAGGCATTAGAAGGAGACTTTGGATGTACTCACCTGATCCAGGGCAAGAGCAACTACAAACAACAGTGATCAAGACTCTGAGACGTGGTGTGATATCCATTAATGGTCTGTAAGGATTATCTGTATGTAATGACAGTGCAGATTACCTAGTTAGTTTTCAAGTTAGTTGTCAAAACTGCAGCAATAGGCTGTGGTTTTGGTCACAGGAAGAGAGCATACTTGCAAATTGTTGTTTAGAAAACAACATTTGGAAAAGATGATCCTCTAGGAAAATGATGCCATTTGAAAGAACAGTTGGCAAACTTGTAGAAAGCCTTCAAAATAAAGCAGGGTCAGATTCACCTAGTTTGGCAATTCTAGAAAAAGGAGGGGATTGCTAAACTCAAGTGACACTGATTCTTAAGTTTTGACCCAAGCAAAAGAAGTAATATAAAACAGTGTTCCAGAGCGAGATCCAAAGGACTAGAACACTTGGTGAAATCAGTCCCAAATGTCATCCATTTCATTATTTTACAGATTTCACACAACAAACTTGGGAGCTGACACTGTGCAAGCAATGCCAACAGCAAATGACCCCAGTGACAAGAACAGAAGAAAATCCTTCTGCAAAATGTGCCCAGGATGGTAAGGTTATCTCATGTGACTGTTTTAGCAGCCTTTCTATATATTTAAATGAAAGAAGTATTTACAATTAAACAAAAAGAATTGGTCACACAAAGATACATTCATGAGCAGGAGCAGGCCAACACTACATTTTTGTTTCTAGAACATAACCAAGCAATTCTGCAGATCAGCACATTCTGCACAGATCAACTGGCTCAGGTATTTCTGAAAGGGCTTTACATTGCAGTATACATTTCATAAGAAATCATGAGAAACGGAAAAGAACAGACAGTTTTCCCTCCACAGCCAGCACGGGCCAGCACTTGGAAAGCTCCTCATTCCAAAGGGATGCTGCTGGCAGTTAGAGCAGGAATATGTGACCCTGGGGCCAGCAGACACTCTGGCTAACCTACTGCATTTGTTTAGGATGCTTATGTTTGCTCCCCAGATCTTCTAACAAAATGTAACTAGTGAATTATTTTTGGCATATGTGACTGTTCTTCTCAAGCTGACTTTCCATATGTGTTGCTTTACCATTATGCAGATCCTCGCTTTTCTTGTCTCCTTCCTGTGTTTGTATTCCACATGCTTCTCTGTAATACTGCACATACCTTCTGTCATCACTTTGCTAAATCTCTGGCTGTTGTTCTGCAAGTGTCAATAACAAAACAAAAGTGTGTTAGGTTTTATGCCATTAATAAAGATCATTCTAATTATGTGTTTCTTTTACATAGACATATAAACGATTCAGGTGAGTTCAAAATCTAGACAGAGATTTTTTTTTTAAGTTACATATGTCCATACCATAAGTAGATACTCTAATTTTAAAAATTCAACAACCTACATTTTTGTGTATGGAGCGCTGTCATTCTGAAGTTTCTGAAAATTAGCAGTCCTAATCTTGCAAATTATACCATGTGGATGTATATACCTAGACAGCTCTAACTTGGAGATCTTGTAACTTTGAGGTGCCTATGTTGTTCCTGGTATCACTAAAACAAAAAAGGTTTTGTAATTAACATATACCTGGGCACTCAGTGCTCTCAGACAAGCAGCTAGACTGCTCACCAAAAATTAGCTATGTGTGTAAATTCAAGTAAAGATGTGGCTGTCCAACATTATAGTGGAGACAAAACTGAAAATATTGGAGTATTACTAATCCAGTACTACTAATTTTTATTTCCTCCTCACTACAGCTTTCAACTTGGCAAACCATTGTAAGATGTTTTCTTTTGAACAAGTCTGTTGCCCTAAACGGAAACATTTCCATTTTCTGACCAAGTCAGAAAAAAACGTCACTTAAACTTTGAATCTCATTGTTGCCAGTGCAGCAGCATCACTTCCCACGAGCAGCTGCTCTGTTTGCTTGAGGATCCTCTGTGGAAGTGCTGCCTCCAGGGCCAGCATCCCCCAGAGCAGATCCCTGCGTGGGGCTCCAGAGCAGCCGTGAGAGCCGCGGGCTGAGCAGCGGAACCGAGCTGCTTCGTGGAGCTACAGCAAGGTAACAAATCCACCAGGAAAGGCCAGGTTGGGAAAAAAAAACCCTTTTTAACATTGGAAAATACAAAAAAATAAATATGGGGCCATTTCTGAACTGAAATGTCTTCACCTCTTTTCTGGGGAAGAAGAAGCAACCTATTGTAAAAACCTATTTGATTTAAGAGAAAAACAAATGTTGATGGTATCAGCAATAAGCACAGAAGGAACATCTCTCTTTGAGGTGGCCTTTTTAAAGTAGTTATGTTCCTTCTTATTAAAGACTAAGGCAAAATAAACTTTTGATGAGTCATTGTAGTAATGTGGAGAAATGTTGCTTTGATTTAAACCGATTGCACTGGAGTTCTCTGTGCTGCTGATTCATAGGTGACAAAATAAAGGTACTGATTTTCTGCACATAACTGCCTGTGTTCATCAGAAAATGCTGAGACTCTCATGGCTGAAAATGCCAGCACAAAATATGGAGTTGAATTGTTGCTAGAAGAGTAGCACTAGCTTCAGAAAGGTGTGATGGATATTCATAGTAATGTTAAAATTACTGTATCATTCTGTTTCAAAGCAGAATGTTGTACCATGCTGGTGTAAGCTGGATCACATTTGCTGTCTGAAATCCCATCTAGAATTTCATGTCACTGTTATTCAGGTACAGAAAAAAGGTTTAAGTAATATCTTAATAAGTCTTGATCTTTATAATGATGTTTTTCAGTGGAAAAAGGCTACACTGAAGAATAGCATATACTGCCTTGACTTGCTTAGAGAATGCAATGCACAGACTTTTAAAAAAATCATTATTTATTCAGCTTTATCTGAGAAAAAAATATATATAATTATCAATAAATCTGAGTAAAAATCTGCAAGGACACATTGCCTGTAGTGAGAGGAGACAAATAGTCTCCTCTCCCTGTAGCAAGAGGAGACAAATAGAAGTAAAAAATCCAGTGGTTTATCTTCTCCATGTGTAAGTAGATGCTTAATTCTATTTTAACTTGCTTTATATTGCAGAACAGAAAATTTTATCAACTCTGTGACACAGAGTCCTTATATAATACACAATGTGGACATTTCAGAGTTGGACTGATTTGTAAAAGCAATTTGAATATCAGTAAGTATCTTGTAGCAAGTTTGTGAATATTCAGGCATACATGAATTTAACAAAACTTCTACAACATAGATGTTGTTTTGCTTTCAGTGTAATTTAATAGGTCTTTTGGGATCTGCCGTGTTTGAACATCTGGGAAACATCACATGTTGTCTGTTGATCAATGAGGCAACAGGAAAGGCATGATGTGACACAGATGTTAAATATGGCAATACTCCATAGACCAACTGGATCACAAATGGCAATGATCAGACTTTGAAAAATCTGATTAAGATTCATTGACTGGATAAAATTCAACTGGGTTTTTTCCCCCTCTGATTTCCTAACTGTTCTTATAACAATATTATAGTGGGCAAAATTGTGGTCAATGAATTATTGCAAACTGGCTTATTTGGAGGAACAAAACGACGTAACTGAAGACAAGGACTTTTACTGTCAAATACTTTACAGGAAGATGGATGCAACTTGCCAGATCCCTGCTGTCTCATCATGAAGATTAATGTCTACTACTGGATAAGTCTGCCACTTCTCGTAAAACAAAGACTATATAAAGCAAATTTATTGCATTAGTTTAAGCCTCAGTTAATTGACTAACTGCCACTATAGTAAGAGACCTTTTTCTGTCTCATATGCAAAAGAGAAATTGTGTATACGAATTCCTTTAACTGTTACCCAGGAATGCCACCTCCTGGCTACATATAGAAACGCCCTTTGAGAGGAAAAGGGGGAAAAAAGCAGCTTTCATTCCGTAGTTTCCATAAAACCATTTCAATTAAATATATGTTTAAAATGTGTGAAACACAGGCATGCCTCCTGTCAGACTTTCTAACTTGCTTGTTGAAATGTAAAGGTACTCAGATATTTACTTTTCTAAAGAAATTGTGTGGTTTAAAATAATAAACACACCTGACACTGACTTTCTGTAGAAACAACCCTAAAGTTGTTGTATTTAAAGGTAGCAGCTGAATCAATATCACAAATGAAAATCTGACCTTACTGAAGCTGACAGGACTTTTGCCTCTGAATTCGGTGGGGCCTAAATTTCAGCAGTATTTTTTGAAAGTAGCTCTTATGAGCTGGGTTCAAATTGTCAGAAGTTTTGAAGGAAACCAGACATATCTTCAGCAATTCAGTGGGCACAGGATTATCTAGGGGAAACTGATTGTGCAAAACAAGGATGGTAAAGGTTTTCAGAGTCAGAGATTTCTCCTTCCCTATGATCAGACCAGATTAACTGTTGCTTTTATACCTTGAACTTGTCCAAAAATACACTTGTTTAGTGTTGCTAGTGCAATAATACATTCCTTGAAGCAATCATATTATCGTGCTGCAATGGACTCCCAACTCCAAGCAGAATTCTACTCTGGCTGCTAGGGTGATAGACAGACAGTAGGACAAACAAGCCAAGGAAATTCTCTCACCTGGAAAGCAAATAAGAAGCATTTCTCCAGTGCATGAAGGAGACTATTTGGGCAGACAGCAAATGAAAACGCCTGCAATTACAAATTACATTAACTCTACTATATTTTTCTTCTGCCTTTTTTTTTAACCTAAATATTACAGCTGTGTGATCTCTTGCAGACCTAAATTCTCAAGTTCATAGGTAAAAATAATTTAAATGAGCCCAATCCTACACTTAGATATTTCAGAGGGAAATAGGTTCTTTTTGGTTCTGCCCATCAATTTCTTTACTGTGTCAAGCATAAGATGGCAGAAATGGAAAAGCAAGCTGCCAAATCACTTACCCTTAATGGGGACACTGGACTGCTTTTAATTTGTCAAATCTGTGATGCTAATATTTTTTAATGTTGTCAGATAGGCAATAACTTCAAGAATTTGGTGGAACAGCACCTATTGGAAGAGGTTAAAAAATAGTGAATGCCGTGTCTTAATGAATTATATCTGACATGTTTGCTAAACATTTTTGTTACAATTTTGTTACTTTCTATCTAGATACAGAAGATACAGGCTTGAAATAACAAATTTTATTCTTTTTTTTTTAAGTTATATTAATTGTAATGAATTTTGATAGGCTGCAGATGTGTAGTTCTTCTACAATAAATAAAAATAATATGAAGCTTTATCAATTTTCTTAATCCCTTCTTTGGAAGAAGAAAATAAAAGACAGAGGTTAAATTGAGATTAAGCTGTATCTCTGCTGTTCCTACAGTGCCATACTTGCTTGTCTTTCCTGATGTGTCATTTTGAAATTATGACCCAGGCAGTGGAATGTGGAAAGCAGGTACCCACTTAATCCATCTACACAAATATCCACAGTTTGCTATTTCTCTCAGCTGCCTTCTGAGAGAAAAGTCATTTATAATTTTGATATGTATACTAAATTTTGACAAATATAATAAGTAATGGAAAGCACATTTGTGAATCCTACTTTTTTCGCTTTTTTCTTTCAACTTTGACTTGAAACATTACAGGGCTTCTAAGATACTTAAAGTACCATGCTTTTTCTTTAATGAGGGTGATTATGATCAGGGTGCCAAAGAAATGACAGCGTGTTTTGGGTGACTTTGTGGGGTTTTTTTAAGAGGAAGGCAGGGTTGAGGAGACAAGTGCTCAAGGGAAAAGGAGAAAAAAGTTCCAGCATGAAACTGTTCCAACAATTTGCTCTAATATTAGTGATACTATCTCCTATCTGTAGATGGCAGTGATCTCCCACTGCCTGCTTCAGGAGGGTAGGGGGAATGGTGGTGATGAAATCCTAAAATTAAAAACCACTGTGAAAAACAGATGTGAGGAAGAGAAGTCATAAGGTATGGGAAAGTATATGCCTATTGTATTTCATTTGTTTGATGAGAAGATGTGTCAGGCCATTTAGAATCTATAAATTTTTTTACCAAAGGATTTTGACAACATATTTCAGAATATTGTGTTTTGAACTTTATCTATCATTAAAACCCTTTGTTGGCTTTCTGGACTTCTTGTACGCACCTTAGACACATTTCATTATTTTAAACATGTTTATTCAAATAATACCTGCTGTTTTCCTTCCAAACCTCTCTGGGTACTTAGCTACCTCCTTCATCAGTTGTTCAGCAGGTCTATTACCCATTTAATTTTTAGCTGTTTTTCTCTTGACACTTGCATTAGTTTTCACTTTCATTCAAATAAAATGCAGTAAGCAGTGTGTGAGTTTATCTGGATATACTTCAGTGAAGGGTGTGATGTGAAGCTCACTGAAAAAAAAAAGAGTTTTTATTAATTTCATTAGGCTTATGATCTTGCCTCACAAAATCTACCATGCTTGGTGACCGGCAGAGAGAACCTTCAAAATGCAACATAAAGTCACTATTTTCAGTTGTAGATTGTTTTTATCTTAACAGTTTTGCCTGAAGAATTTCAAAATATAATACTTTTCATTAAGATCAGACTATAAAAACTATATTTTTAAAGTTCTATTTCAAGTCTCACATGGGCTTCTAGCATCAGATTTTAAATGGAATCTAGACACAGAAATGCAGATGAGGAGCCTAATAGGATTTCAAACACCATCTAAATAGCATTTTAAAATCTGCTTCTGAAGTTTATAAATATCAAGGATATTTTGGGTATCATGAGGCTGATGATGCCTCCAATGCATGTATATGCAAAGTGGACACAGAGAAGTACCTAAGCCAGTTAGTTCTTAAGAGCCTTTGCTTTTAGAAGAAAGTGAATCACTGCAAAGAGGGGAAAAAAACAACAAATATAAATCTGCTTCTAAGGCAGCCCAGCCTAGTGTAAGTGGTATGAGCATTAGATACCTTAGAGTGACTTTGAGACATTCCTCAGCAAATCACGAACTGCTATCTGTTTCAGCTCCTTCCATTTTACACTAAGGCTCATTCCTTGCTGCTCAAAGAGGTTTTGCAATATCAGCACAGCTCATCTGCAGCCACTGTTGTTTTACTGCAGTCGAGCAGGGGCTTGTCATTAGTATGACCAGTGGCAATTTTGACCTCTAGTGCAGAAAGCCAGCATAAATTACTGTGCGTTGCCGAAATCCTTTCTGGAAAGCTTAGCTGGGGGTTTTGTCCTGCTGCACAGGAATGGATCACATGCAGTATGTTCTGGAGCAAACAGGACACACACTCCCCATCCTAATGGCAGGCTTTCCACACTTTCCACTAAGATAAAACCATCTACTTGGCATCACTGTATTAAAGCTTTCTATACATGAATCCTACATTTTCTCCTCTGAGTTTTGTCACCTCTTTCTTGCCATGCCAAATGGCTTTTTCTCTTCTTTACTGACCACTCTTCAGTTCTTGGAAAAGCAGCAGCAGCTTCTCTAACTGGTCTGTCATTTTGCTGAACCTGCAGTTCTAAAAATGAATTTGATTTTTTAATGAGTGAATGGTTTATCTTTATATTCCATTGTCAGAAAAAATAATCCAATAATCTGTTCCCAGAATGTGAACAGTATGCACTCTCAACAACAACAACAAAAAGGCACCTAAGGAATTGTGTATGGCCTTATTGCCTATTATTTACAGATCCACACATGTCTATATCCAAACTTGCCTTTTCCCTCACACCACTGGCAGGGCACAGTACAGAAAATTAATTATCTTAACCCACTTATATTGTTCTCCCTCCAAAAAAGATTATTGTGAGATATTAAATAAAACCTAGGTTTAATATCTCCACTCATGCTCCAAATGCACACAGTAAGACCCCTTCTTTGGGAGTTACCTTTGGTCACTTCACAAAAATGTCAACATTGGAATTTTGCAAAAAACCTCATTTAGTAAGCTGTTGGCTCAGTTTGCTTTATATACACTTCTAAGAACATTTGCAGTTGGAACTCAAAGTGTGCAGGACTCAGTGTAATTCTCCCATAGCTTCCCGTGACACTGCCTGACTTGCAGTGTTTCTGTCTATCCTTCCTCCCTTCTGCTTCTTCCCATCCTCATGCTTTTGCTCCCTCTCTTCATTTTCTAATTCATTCCACATGCCCTTGAATATGTACCATGCAAGCTGCTGTTTTGCATTCAACATTTGTTTATCCTGGGACTTATCACAGTATCTGAGAATCTCATAACTTTCACAGATTTTTATCCTCTTGAAGCCTTTGTGAAACAAGGAAGTGTGTGTCAATTTACAGGTGGGGAGTGGTCACACTGCAGATTAAGTGAGGTGCTCAGAGCCCTGCTTAGCCGTGGGAGCTCTGTTCAAGTATTTCTTGGCTCCTGATCTGCTGTATAGATTGAACATTCCTGTCGAACTACATCTCCTGCAGTGCACCACAGTCTCTTTTCAAAGTGAGGACAGGCCATCACTCCAGCATTTTTGGCTTCTGGGAGATACAAATTGGATGGGGAGGCTCTTCTTACATTAGAACAGGGACATGAGACACAAATTCAGAAATTTCAGAAAATCCCATTGCAACTTTTCAAAATCAAAACTAATGGATGGGTAGAAAAGAGAATGTGTGTGGGAATGGGCTCAAGGGTCTGACCTACATTTCCATTCCCCCAAAAGAAACCAAAACATCCTTTAAAATCCCCCCAAAAAAACATGCAAAGCAGATACTTTACTTATAAACAGTTAATGATCTAAAAATGTTGGCTTCTGAAGAAAATCCTGTAATGGCTAGTTGTATCATAGACTGGTAGAAAAGCACTTAGATCTAAGATTTCGTTAGAGTTATCTCGTCTTTCTCATTTCAAAGTATCTGCTGTAGATGTAGCCAGCATGCTTTTTGCAATAAAATTCACCTACCTGTACATCCACACAGTTTAATGCTGGTTCTAAATTAATTTTTTTTGAGTTGTCAAAACATAGGACTGTGTATCCATGTTTTCCAACTCAAAGGGGAAGCTTCCAAAGCAGTGAAAGGAAGGTCCACATAAGGACTGAAGCTGGCAACATGTGAAATTTGGGTGCCAGGTTATTAAGTATTCTGATTTAGCCACGATGTGAAACTCCACAGTGAGCTCTACAAATAGCTTTGCTGATACTGAGGTAGTGACCTCTGAGGCTTTCATGTGACTGCGCTGCCAATGGGCTGTCTGGTCCACCGGGGTGCCACTTTCCTTTGATTTATCTTTGAGTCTGAGGAATTTTTTTTTTTTCTGTAGTAAGAAAATCCTATTTCAAATTCATTATTAGAGCTGGGCCCCAGTGGATAAATCCTAGTTACTAGATATTTATTTTCCATGGATATATGTACTGACTTTAAAACAAGCCTCATGCAGATAGATGTCTGGTTTTCCTTATTAATTAAGGGAGTCGGGGAAGGGAGGAAAAAGGGGAATATATAATAGATCACTTACCTGAGAAAAGCTGTGCAGCTGGGTGTGATCTGTTGTATAATTCAGAAAATATGCATCTAATCAATTGTACTCTCTTGAAACCTAAAAAAAAATTGGTTTACGGCAAACGTCATACAAACTTGGTGATAAAATAAACATTCTGATTACTTCTGCACTTTTCTGCAGACCAAATACAGTGACTATAAATGAAGTTAAAAAAAAAAAAAAGAGAAAGAACAGAAAAGTAACAAATTAAATGTTTGTGTAAAAGTACTCTGGTAGTGAGCCCATACTCCCTATTCTTGGGATTCAAACTTCTTTGCCTAGTGAAAATGTTTCAAAACTGACATGCACAAAGAGCTTGCATTCTGCTGCAAGCATAACTTCCACTGAACTGTGTAAAAATAAGGCAAGATACAATGTCAACACTAAGAGGAAAAGGTTAAGTTAAAGTCCTTGTAAATTTAATGGCTACTGCATAAGACAGCCTTTTTTCAGTAAATCAGTTCAGAGCTTTCTTCTGTTCAGTATTAAAAACCTTCCAGCAAAATCAAAAATTTCTAGACCTATCACAGAACTGTGAAAGTAGCATTTCTACAGGCTACAGAAGATACTTTAAATCTTATCAGAAATCTCATCAGGGGACTTATTTCGCCTGCTGAAATTTTTCAGAAATTGGCTCTATCTCCTCTATGCCCAACTACCTAAAGTCACCCACAAAACAAGAGATGAATTTTAGTCTGTGCTCAATGTTCTATGCAAGAGAGACAGTAAGGGGAGTAGTGTCACCTCCATCCTCACAGCAATTTCAGCTGCTGACTGCACAGCCAGATGCTGTGCAAGGAGCTCAGTCCAGGTAGCTTCAAGAAGTGTGCTTCATGCTAAGCACTAACAAAAATATCCAGTATTAGCTGTTCATACCCTGAATATAACACAAAGGCTATTGCAGCTTACTGGATTTTTCTCCAAAGCTTCCTCAAAAGTTACCTTTTGCACAAAGGGAATCAGCAATGCAGATGGTGTGCAAAGGCTGGGAGTCTCCCACACCGAGCTAGGCTTGAGATGATGCCAGTTACTTCCCTGATGAGGTTTTTCCTTATATTTTTACTCTCTGAGCAATCCTCTTTCTTGACATTTTTGTTAATCTATTTTTTGCTTCATATTTTCAGATACTTAAATACATGGAAGCATTTTATAGGAGTTCCAAAGCTTCTTGAGAAGTGACTGACCTTTCTAACTCTTGGAGTATGTGCATTTAATTGAAAACTTCTCCCCTCGATATCTTTTCTCTAAACAATGGAAAAAATATCTATGTTAAACAGAACCCCATCCAGGTATGTGTGTAAACTTGAGGAAAGAATGCAAGGGAGTTATTTATAAAAGGATGAAAATATTAAGTATTATTTATTTAGTGCCAACTATATTCTTGGTTCTTATCTGTTCTTACAAGCAGCATTCTGTTCATATATGGAAGATGCAATTTGAAGCCACAGCATCTGAGCTACAGTAATTTTGATATAATGGCAATGAAAAGATGCCAGCAAAGCACCTTTTATGTGTGAGTTAAACTTAGCTTTGGTTGACAGTGTGCCCACTGCAAAACATACACAATACCCATAGGAATGATAAACAGAGCTTTCTCCAAAGAAAGATTTTGTTCCCTTCTGTTGTAACTTAGTTATTAATTTAGTGTATAATTTAATCTGTCAATTCCTTATCTATAAAAGGGATCCATCAGGACTTCTCTGAGTCTTGTCCAGGCACATTTCAATATCTTCTAGAGGAGCTACCCTGCTACAGGTGTTGCTCCACCCCTGCTACTCCACAGCCTTAGTCAAGACTGGGGGCTCAAACTGTAACTGTTATATCCAACATAATAAGAAACATTAATTTTATTGGGGTAGCTGCAGGCATTAGACTTTAAACAAGGAATAAAAAAATACTACTGTTTGACATATAAAGAATATGAAGGAAAGCATTCTGGAAATGCTTTAAAATACCTTAGTAATATTTTCTGAAACTCTAGACATATTTACTATGATCACATCTCTCTTTAAGTCTTGTAAGCTAACACCATCTTATTAACTTTTAATATATGAAAAATATGCACTATAGGAAATGTAATGTTACTAATGAGGTAAGGATCTCCCCCCTCACTGTTATTTCCTGTCCATCTCCGTGGTAAGTAACCATGTATCTTTGTATATGGACATGTACAAGATAAGTGAAATAGCTACTTACCCATCTGCAGTCCCAGTGGACCTCGATTAGCCAGTGAAAAGGCAGAGGCCACATCAAACCAACGCTCTACAGAGCAAACCCGAAGAAGTGCATTAAGATTCTGCCCTTGTAATGCCAGCTAGTGAGATTTTCACACATGGGGAATACTGAATAGGACCTTCTAAAGCTAAAAGATCCTGCGATCACATTTTGTCCCATCAACTAGTAGTTCCCACTAAGATAAATACAGAGAAATCTGCAGTAAGAACATAGAGAAATACTCCCAGAAAATATCTCAGATTTTTCTCCTTGTTATAAAGCAGATGAAATGTATTTGCTTATTAAATATTACATTCATAAAAGAAAATTTTTCTTTACTGAGGATTGCACACAGATTTCAAGTACTTTTCTGCAAGCCAAATACAGACATTTTTTTTTTTCTGATATAAAACGCAACCCTTCTGCAACCTAATCAAAAGTTAGACTGCCAGATCCAAATGATACTACAAAAAAAGGTCACATTAAATTTCTAAGGGTCATTATTAAAAACATGTGGAATGTTCCCTTCAGTACCTTTGGAATTTAATTGCACACTGCCTGGACACTTAGATTATTCCTTTTAAGCAAGGAACAAAACATGCTGATGTTAGAAGCCACACTGAAAGCACACCCTTGCTTCCCCCTGCCCTTCCTCTTGTCCCTGGCCCTCCCTACTGCCCTGGCCAAACCCTAAAGACAATCTGCACAAGAAATAGCATGATCATGAAGGAGTGTTTGAAAGTACTGTTAAAACCAGATTTTCTCAAAAGTAAGAAATAAAAATCAAGAAAAAGCAGTTTAACTGACTGGCCAAATTGAAACAAAACCCACCCAAAGCAGCAAACCAGGCAGAGCAAACCAGGCTCTGAATTAAAGCCAACTCCTGTGAACTTCAGGTCAACCAATGGCTAACAGCAGCTCCACAGGGATTAGAAGCTCTGCCTGCTACTAAACTGAGCAACCCTAAATGGAAACTCACTCAGCCACTGAAGCCATGTTGAACATCTACTGGAGCAGGACTCAAATCAATCCATAGAATTCCAGAGAAACTGGTGACAATTTGTTCAGCAAATGTATCCAGTAGAATTTGATTCAAAGGGGTTATTCAGATCTCCCTGACACATCCTCCTGTTCCAACTTTTCTGGAAAAGCTGATTCAATGCAAAACTTGTAGCACTTCCATGAGCTTTAGATTTCCTGACCTCCAGCGAGTGGGAGGTTTATTGCAGTTTCCCTGGAAGTCTAAAAACACATCCTTTTTGGAATGGCACATTGAGCATTTTGTCACTATGCAAAGTGCAGTGCTCTCTGTGCTGAAATTTAGTTTCCATAAATGAAATAACATCTGGTAAGTGCCAATATTAGGGGATGTCCATCCATGCAATGTTACACCATCCTTGCTCTGATTTACTGATACTTCGTTTCCTAAGATTAGCCTGTTGGAACTATCTAGAGGGGTATGGAGTTTATTTATAAGCTTTAGTAGACCTGCTCATAATTTATTTAAAAACCATTCCAATAATTTATTTTATAAATCAATTAGCTCCTACTGATTTCCTTCCAATTTACTGTGAAATATCTTCTGTCTGTTGTTATTCTGCTTATTTAACTTGGGCAAATATCCTTTAAATCTAGTTCTTATGCTGTAGGATGATGCCCTAAAATAATTTTTCAATAACAAATTCATTTTTAAATTCTCTTGAAAAGTTTAGTAGAAGGATGATGAGAAATCAATTAGGGCCATGCTGATGAATTAATAATTATTATTATCTTAGCTTTGCTTTGAAACAAACAGAAAGAATATACAACCAAACAGATGAAAATACCATCCATAAGGAATACAATTTTAAAAGGTAGAACTAGTACCAATGTACACACTGTTCTGTGAAATCATATTTCTGAGCTTACGGAAACTCACTGGGATCTGGGTCACCGGGTTAGAAAGAACTGTGTTAGCAAAAGAAAAATTATTGTCTTTCTACTTTAGTATGCTGCACAGCTAGGGGAACTTGATTTCAATAACATATTTTTGATATTATATAGCATAGAGTTATGCACATTGCAGCTAAAAGCAAGTTAAATTCTTAACAAATAAAGGGGGAGAAATGTAAATCTCTCCTCTATGCCCTATGTATTCTGCCTATGTACTACACAGTGGGAATTCTGCAAGGATATAATATATAAAATGTATATATCTAGGCTCTGCAAGAGCACTACATAGAAACAATACAGTTAAAAAGTACAAATCAAATTTGATTTTAATGTCCCTTTATGTTTCTTATTAAAAAAGGAGGAAAATTTGAAGACTTCAAAAATAAATGTAATGACATCTTAGAGAAATTTAGCTTACTCTAAAAGACTCAGTTAACTTTAAAATATATAGCTAAAAGTCCTGAAATATTTTATGGTTCACCACCTAACATAAAACAACAACACAGAAAAACAACAAGCAAACACACCCTGCTGCCTTAACAACCAAATCTGTTCATTTAAATAAACCCATGTTATGAGTGCTACACTGGATTGATAGACATGAAAATCAACAAGTTCCCTCTTCTAGGCAAGAATTCCTTGTAGTTCCATGCTAAAATCTATTGCAAAGAAATTCATACTCCCATAAGAAACTTCAGATGGCATGACAGTAGCATTGCAAGGACATTTGAAATAGGCTGGAATGGAAATTTATTCCCAATGAGTAATACTGGGTATTCCTACTGCATGGAAAGCTTTGGCATGGATTACCTTGTTTTTGGATTATGTTTTACCTTGCAAGAGTCTGTGATCTCACAGTGAATGATTACAAGCAGTACAAGTGTTAAGGGTGATGTGGTATTTAACTCATCATGTAGTTGGGGAATATGATCCATATCTTACCAGTGAAGGGATTGAGACACAGACTGGTTAAAGGGTTTCACCTAGAAAATTCTTCAGAAACAGGTACTGAACATCCCTGTCAGGCTCCACAGCTGTGCCTTAGCCAAATGCTTTGTCCCTGCCTGGTGTTTAGACCACACCTCACTGACAGGGTGTCACAGTTCTGTTTTGTTGGGAGTTTCACCCTAAATACATGTGAAATTACAGGTAAAATTCTCACCTTTTGAATCTTCAGAGGCAATTTTGTAAGACATCTTGCCTCAAAATTCCTTTCACGGATATATGAACTTTTTTTATCTTTTCACTAGAGGGGAAGAAAATCCTACTTCAATATAAATTGCTACACAGGAGAAAAGCAATAATTTCTCTTTCTCTCTGCTTGAAATCACCTCTGCTTGGATATTCAGATACAACCACTATATACTTACAGGCCTAAATAAAACTACTGATAAATTTAAAAAAACTGGTAGAATTATTTTAATGTTGCTTGTATAGACACAAAAATCAGATGCACATGTAGTTCTGCTCACTACAGGGGAAAGGCTGCAGATGGGTATATGTTTTAAAGCACTCTGAGATTATTAAAAAAAAAAAAAACAAAGATTCAGCTCTCACTAGATCAAGACTGTGACCAACAGGGTGAAACTGAAGGTATTCAACTTCTGCAGAGCTGCAGGGACACAATCACTACTGAGCAATCTGATCCACCTTGGGCAGCTGGGAATTTTACAGCAGCCCTCACCAGGGCCAGCATTTTTTATGATTTCTCTTGTCTTTGGTAAGGTCTTCAAAACCTTACATATTTTGATATAAACCCAGTCCCTTATGCATCATCTGACTTCCCAATCAGCCTCTCAAAGAATACTGGATTGGCAGTAAGTACTATGCACACAATAATCTTTGTTCTCTGCCATATGCCCCGTGTGGTATTTGTAAAAATGCCTGATTGCTGCATGATTGTTCTGTCTTCCCTTGTAGCTCTTGGGCTATATATCTTCAGGTGTGTTAAGGTACCCATGGTACAATGCCAGACTAAAATTTGCCTTAAACAAACTCCCAATAGCTCTGATATCACTTTTAATTTATATTATAATTTCTAAATTCTAGTTGTTCCCTTGTGATTTTTTTTTCCTTTTTTTTTTTTTTCCCACAAGCACATCTGGAGCTGAGAAGCAGCTCTGTGCAGGAAGCAACCACATGTGTATTAAATGGCACCCTTCTGTGGGACTTGTGTCTCAGTGCAATCTGACTTCTTTCCCCAGAATGGCCAGTTGAGTCCCACAGGTTCTGGGCAGTTCTTACTGTTTTACCTAAAGCAAAAAATTCCTGGGAGTGTCCACAAATCTGAACCGGCATCTGTTCCTTTCCTGTTGTTTCTTCTTTGAAAATATAAACAGAATATTAATTACTTTGCCATGATTTTATCCTGCTGCTCAGTTTGTTTCCTTTTAACTTCTGAATCTATCACCACCTGCCAATTTGTCTAATCCTCTATTCTGACAGAAGTTAGGTTTTAGCTGAGATTACTGCAATGATCCTGAAGGAAAATGAGCCATATTCCACTAGGTCACCAAGACTCAGAAAGACAAATCTGTTACTTCATCATTTGCAAAAATTGGATCTACACACAGAAACACATTTCATAATTTTGTTCATGGATGCATTCAGAGGAGCTTGAGCATCTCTCACATGAAAGAAAGTAAGTCATAGGATTTGTGCCTCTAATACTTTCAATGTCCTTTTCATTTTTGTCATGTTTTGTTCTTAAATGAATAATAAAATAAACTTTTAAATAATTGGAGATTCTTCACTAGTTCTCAGCACACACAGAAGAAGAAAGCTGAATCAGCGTTTTCACACGTGCTTAACTCCATAATTATGTGCTGTGCTAAATTAGAGAACTGTGCTAAGGTTTCATATTACAAGGATTACTTTAATTCTATACAGGAAAAAAGGAATATTTTACACTATATTTTAATAAATAATTAATATTAACCTGCATCTATTAAATAAAGGTTCAAACTTGCACAGTGCCGTAAGCTCCCACTGGATGGTGTTTATCGACTTGCAAAATCAGGACCTGGTACAATGGTATTTGGAGAGAACTTCTGTTTCATACTGTGCCAGTTCAATATTGCTAACTACA